TAGCCAGTAACTCCTATATGCACACTGGTTCACTTTTGGGACTAAATAGAGTGGGAAAAAAAATGGGGAAAAAAAAAAGACTTTGGATAAAAGCATACAATATTTTTCAAAGCATTTTCCTAGTTGTCTTTTTTTCATTAAAAAAAGCCCACATGTTAACATTGTTTTGCTGAAAATGGCTATATTTAAAATAGCTTCAAATAATGTTAATGAAGCATTGTTTTAATTTTGCCTCCAGGAAAAACAAAACAGCATTATAAATTATTCTCCATTTAAAAACACTGCCATCATGTTAGTAATTTTTTCCCTTTGGCTGAGGGCTGACAACCTTCTCTTTCCCCCTTTTCCTTCCAACAATATTATGTGAGCATGACAGCACAACAAATTGAAACTTCTGCTAAGCATTGTGCCCAAGATATGTATAAACTGCTTGTGTTTCTATTGCAACTGCATGTCTTTCCTGGGTATGACACATAAAAATAGGTAATGTCAAAATAAGCCTGTTATTTTAAGAACAGTTATAGGTGTGGAGATGTCTGATTGGAACTTAAAGCTCAGGTTCTGAACAGTAAGAGTCATTAAAGATATTTGTACTTTTTTTTTTTTCCTTTGTAAAGCAGGAATATTAGCACAAATCACATGACCAACATACAAATTTGAAAATTACATCTGGTATTTCCCTAATTTCCTCCTGCTATTTAATTCTAGTATTCGTTACTTTTTTTTCCTTAAATGGCTCTTTTGTGTTTGTTCTTTGCTGTTATAGGTGGCTTAGAAAGGAAAAAAATCACTGTGTTGAAGTCTGCTCTTCTCTACTTTAAATACAAATTCCTTTTTCCTATCCTCATTTTCACAGTTCCCAGGCATATGAAGTATTACTTCCTGTCTTTGCTTGTTCCATGAAAAGTCCTGTGAAGGATACAGGAGAATGGCTGAGAAATCTTCTCTCCACTTGACTGAAGAAAATAGGAAATGCTGAATCCCTAACAGGTGTCTCTGCTGAAAGTAATTATTAAGATAAATACTTTTAAATAAGGATAATTGGTATTTTAAACAGATCAAAATCTTTGCAAATACTTGTTATATTCTCCTGGTACATTGATGCCATATGCCTGCTGAAAATTCCCTGAAGTCTTCTAGTGAAAGGATAGATTAAAAAGCAGCTTTCAGGGGAAAGATGTTCGTAAGAGAATAATCTAATCAGCCTATGTTTACAGATAACAAGAGAACATAAATTCTTTTATTACTTTTTTACGAATCATCTTTTATACAACATCAATCTTTTCAAGTGCCGCCTGCATTTTAGTCACAGATAAAGTACAGCATTACATCATCTGTTAAATGTCACATTTCATATCAAAATATTTAAACATAGGGCACCATAAAGAGCATCAGCTTTACTGTGACTTTTCAAAAAGTAACCCATCTCTTAATCACAACCCAGGTAAGTAACTGGCTTCTTTCTGTGTTCAATAGATAACTGCTGCTCAGAGTGTCTGAAGCAGAAGAAAGGCAGGGTTAGCAAAGACTTTTTAAAAAATATCATTAGTTTCTAGTCACTGTCTATGCAGAGTTCATTCAGGTACATTGATTTAAAAACCTAGCAAGCCTTTAAAAAATGCCATGGCACTTTTGGAAATAATAAGCCATTGTCAGATCTCAAAACCTCTGACTTTCAACTCTAAATATCAAAGCTTCCTGCGTTCAGAATTGTCCCAAGCTGGCAGCACTCCTTGTTTGTTTATAGAAGTCCCTTTATGCAGCCTTCTTCTGAATTGTATTCCTGTCAGATGCAGTATTATTTGTCTCACTGATGTAACAAGTAAACTTAATTTTAAAAACAAGAAGTAACGTATTTTCACAATGTAAGGAGGTGAGGTTGGAACAGTCAAAAGGAATTGACCCCAACAGTTAAGTCTGTCTGTCTCTCTGGCTAGTCCCTGTGAGGTTTGATACCGAAGATGTCTGCAGGCAGGGTCCCAGCCTGCACCTGCAGGAGCCAAAGGGCACGTTCATATTGCAGGGAGCCCATTCCATTCCCCCAGCCTGGGACGGTCTTTCACAGCACTTGTCCACCACAGAGGAGAGATCTTCGAAATGTCCTCATCCCAAAGAAATTCAACCTTTCCCAGCACCTGGAAAGGCACCACAGTGGTAGTGTAATACTGACATCCAGTGGATGAAAAAATTTCACTATCTAACTTGGTCTGAGAATTGGACAGAAGTCGCAGTGAAGGAGGTATGAAAAAAATAGGAAGAACTACTACGTTTATAAGCATTTTAGCTTTATGAGAACCAGAAACTAGTCTGGGAGCTGTGATTCCCCCAAATACTCAAGTAAACCTGAGTGAGAACTCCTGAGTTTCAGACAAACCAACAAAATCTGCTTGCTTTCTACAGTTCAAATTTGTTTTGTAGTGTGAAGATACAGGGACAATGGAGTGTGGTATATTTTGCTCCTCTGAAATGAAAATATTTGGTTCACTAGGTTTATCATACTGCTTCACTTTGCTTTCCATGTCCTGCTACAAGTGCACCAAAATCCTGAGCAAAACATAGGAAGGAAAATTTACAAAAGAACACCAATAAAGGAAAAGGGAATTCAAACAAAGAAGTGATTTTATTACTTTTTTTCTTATAGCATGGACAAGGTCAGCATCTTGGACATATCTTTCCCAAAGCATGCAACCTGTGCTCTCAGTGTGTTAGTGATTTCTGCTTACTCCAAGAAAAATACATGTAAATACAGACAGGATACAGACAGTTTGTATTCACTGAATAAACAATGAGGAAGAGAGGCAAAGTGCTTTCAAAATTTATACCACTAATTGATATTGATTTATGCACTGCCTTTTGTATTCCTTAGAGCACTACAATAACAAATATGTACGTACCCACTATAAAGTATTATATATATATATAATATATAAAGTTCATATTAATGGGGCTCTTTCCCCCAGCCATCAGTGTAAAAATCCATTACCGTTACTGAATGGAGAAGCCATCAAAAGATTCACTGCTCTTCCCTGATTTGTGTAGCCCGAGTTCACACGGGTCTTGTCTGCTGTCTGTGCCAGCAGCACACATTGCTTTGCTGTGCTGGCAGCTGCCCCTCCTGGTGGTGGCTAACCTGTGAAGGGCTCTGTGGCTTCTCCAGGATAGAGCATATTTTCACTGAACAGCCACAGACCTGTTCACTAACGTGACAGGCACACCACATCTCTATGGTTGTCTCTTCACCACCAAAACGGTATTTTCAGCTGCTGCACTGTTCTGCTGATCAGGTTGTAACAGGATTCTCCGGAGGAGATCAAATGGAAACAGTGTGCTGGCATGCAGCCCTGGGTGAGGTCAGGAAGTGACACTCATTAATATAACAACAGTCTTCAAAAATAGTGGAGAATAAGGAAAATTAGAACAATCATAGAAATTTGGTACAAGCAAGGATAATCTCTCTCTCCACGTGTTTCTGTTATTCCATGTATTCCCCTCAGTGCTTTCTCTGTCAGTTTTGGAGACTTGCTGCTCCCACGGCCACGCTCTTCTGCTCTGCTAATCCTAAACCCTTTGTCGCGTGCAGGTCCTGCTTATACATCTTCTATTTTTTTTTCCTTCCCTGAGATCTGGCACTGCTGCCCCAGACCTGCTCTCCAGCCCCGGGGTTAACACTCGCTGCAGCTCATCCCCGGCTTCACATCACCTCCCAGGAGAGCGTCCCTCGGCCAGACCCTTGCCTTAGTTTCCCGCTGCCCGTAGAAACACATAGCCCGTTTCTCAGGCGCTATCCCTCTATACTCCGCGGATAATGAAAATCCTAGTAAATGCAGTTTATTTGTTTTACGAGCGGCCGCCGCAAAGAGCCCCTTCCCGCGGGTTCCCCTCACGGATCGCCCCCGTCACGTGCGCAGCTCCTCGGGCCGCGTGGGGCGCGCGGCGGGGACGCACCATCCCCGTGCTCCGCAGAGATTGACAGCGACACCACCCAATCAAAGGCACGTCCTTCCTTCCCCCCGCTCCCAGCTCCACCCCCCAAGCCTACGGTTGCTGTGTCATCCGGCGGGTGACAGCGGGGGGCGGCCGCCAGTTGGCTGCGGGGGGGGGTGGGCTCCCAGCCAATGGGCTTCGCGATCTGTCCGACTGACACCCCCCCCGCCCAATAGCTGTCTCACGTGCCCCCAAGGGGGCGGGGCGAAGTGCAAATGTCGCCGGGGCGGGCGGGCGGTTGTGGCGTCGGTGCCGTGTCGCGGCGCCGTGTCGCGGTGCCGCTGAGCGGCCACGGCCGCGGTCACACACGCTAATCGCGCGTGCCCGTCACGGCGCCCCGCCCTTGGGGCCGGCAAATGAGCGCACACACTGACGTAGCCTCGCCTCTCGCCTCGGCTGACAAGGGCCCCAGCGGCCGCTGAGGAGCGGGGCTCGGTGGGCGGGTCTCCGCGCTGTTATGGCTTAACGGGCACATCCCTTTTCCAGTGGTGTCCGAGCTTGCGACCCTCAGGCCAATCCGTAGGGCGGGAAGGCGGGGCAAGTAGAGGCGGGCGAGCGAGTGCCCCATTTAAGGGGCAAATCTCGCAGCCAACTGGCAGAGAGGAAGGAGGGGCGGGAGCCTGTGAGGGGTGCGAAGGGGACAACGTTAACTGGTGACAGCCAGCAAATGCAGCCAATCAGAGAGGGCGTAGTGACGCGGCGGCCCAATCGGAAGGGCTGGGGCGGGCACTCCGCTGTGATTGACGTGGGCCATGGCTAATGGGCGGAGAGATCACCGAGACTCTTCCCAATGGGCAGCGTGTAGGGGCGGAAAGGGGAGCGGACGGACAAGACGAGCAGGCGGAGCGCCCAATCAGCTCGGGGATTGGCGGAGCGCCGTCCAATGGGCGGCGCGAGGGGCGGTGCGGGGGCGTGTCCCGGTGTGTTTGGGTTCGTGCTCCTCGGGGGAGGGAGAGACGGCGGCTAGGAAAGTTTGGGTTTGTTTTTTTTTTTTTTTTTTTTTTTTCCCCGGTGGCGTTTTTTCGGCGGGGCCGTTGGGGGGAGGGGGCGTTTTTCCGCAGTTCCTTCGCCTTTTGCTTCCTCGGGTTCGTGTTTCCCGGGCGGGCGGAGCCGCCCCCGGCACCGAGAAGAAGGGGGCTCAGCGCACCGCGGCGGCGCCTCGGCGGTGAGTGCGGGACGGGCCCCCCCGCCCCCCCCTCCTCCTTATTCCTTATCTCCGCTCCGCGCTCCGGCCGCGGGGCTCCCTCAGAGCCCTTCCCGCCCTGCGGACCCTCGCGCCGCCTCCGAGGGGCCTCTGGCGCCGGGCCGCGGTGCCGCGGGGCGGGGGAGGGCCGGGGGCCGGGCTGGCGGGAGGGCCCCGAGCGGCGGCGGCTCAAGGGCGCTGCCCCGGCGGCGGCGGCGCGGCCGCTGCTCCGGCCCGACCCCGGTGAGCGCCTGTCCCGGGGCACAGCCGGGCGAGCGCCGCCCCCGCCCCGCCTCACGTGCGGCCGCGGCTGCGCCCCGAGCCCCCGCCGGGTCTCCCCGCAGGGCCCCGGACCACCCAGGCCAGGCAAAGCATAGAGCGGCGGAGAGACCCCGAGGAGTCCTGGTGTGACTGAGGAAAAAAAACCCAACAAACAGTGCTGTAGCGCGAGGACAGAGCCGAGGTCGCGCTGGTAGCACTGTAAACCGCGCTCGCTGTATGAGTGGAACGTGATGCTGGTTAAAATGTGTGTATGCGGTGGGTGGGTGGGTGGGAGGAGGGACCGTGCTCAGAGGTGTGTCCTGGGCGGAAAAAAAAAAAAAAAAAAAGTTTCCCCAGCTGTTTGTAGCAAAATGAGGGAATGTTTGTTTCTGGAGACGCTTCGCTGGCTGTGTATAATCGCTGCTTGCAGCGTGGTATCTTGCAGGCTCAGATCTGCTTTATGAGAGTGCATGTAGGAGTATCTACTACAGCATAGGGCTGAGTATCAACAAAAGTGTTTTCCTAACTAAAGTGGACGTGCTTACTGCTGTAAACGCTACTTCCTTTTTCCATGCTAACATTTCACTACCCTTAAGAACATTCGTTAAGATACCTCTTCATAAAGTTAACTTTTTGGGATTTTTAAAATTCATAATAACTGTTTTTTAATCATGATTTGTTAAGGTTCAGTGTTGTATTTACATCCTCTACAGAAGCTGTGAATCTTGCTGCGAAATAGTGAGTAGGTCTTGGGGATTGGTATAGCTCCGGATTTGAAGGGTCTGATTACATAGTGTTTTCCAGTAATATCACTATCCATGTGTATTGGATTGTAGTTTCTGCTACAAGTGTGGTAGAGCTAGTAGCCTAGATTTGTAGCATTAATAAATACGTATGCAGGTTCAAGCAGCTTTTTAGTTAGTTTACCCACACTGAAGTTGCTCAGCAATTTCCTCCTCTCATGTGGTGACTCTCTCTAATGGTACAGATTCCTTGGAAGGAGTGCTGTTGAGACGCTGAGTGAGCGCTCTCATCTGCTGCATTACCCAAGGTCCCGAATTTAAAGATAAGGTCCAGCTTTTCCACCACGGTTAGTGCAGGGTCTGCCATGTAGACGAACCTCAGGGGAGGGTTTTGTAAGGGTGAATTTTCACCTGAGTTTAACTGAGTTGCAAGTATAACTGGACAGTTCTGCAGCGAAGAAATGTCCCTGCGAAAGGTTGAGGCCGGGGATGGGGGAAGGGAGTCCAGAGCGGTATTAAGTGTGTTGGCTTTTCTGCTCTGAAGTTCTGGGTCAGTAAGGCGCAGGCACATCTTCCTTTGTAGAGGGTAGGTGAGGTGATCATTCAACTTCTTACTTTCTTCTTGGTTAGCTATATTGCATGTCGGTGTTTTGCAAATTCACTATTTTATGTAAAACTGTTCGTATGTAGAGAATTAACTCAGAAGTTTCAGTGCTAATTGGTAAAATTCTGATGTGCATACTTCCCTTGTGAACTTGATCTTGGTTATGTTATTGGGATGCTCAAAGGGAATCATTTTAATCCTGTAATGTAGAAGTCCTGGAAAAAATTTAATGATAAACCAGTCAGTGTTTTTTAATCACACAGGCTTTGAACTGATGCATTACTGCACTTTCTGTATAGTGCAAATTTTAGCTAGAAATCTGCAGTTTCATTTAAACAATAAGTTCAAATGTTTGAAACTAAAAATCTTAGTAACTGAGAATCAAAAAAAAAAAAAAAAAAAAAGAAAAAACATAATCTACCAGAGTTTGTGTGAATGAATAATCCAACAGAACATCTAGGTGGAATGTGTGTCATGGCTTTGCTTGGTGATGCCTATCTGATCATCAAAACTTGATGTTGGAGGTGTTAAGAGGAGAGAGCTTCAGGAGGGAATTTTGCATAGTTCTGAGGTAGTGTATTTTACGTTAGATCTGCCTCTGTAGGAAGTAGGAACTGAGAAATTAATTTTTTTTGGCAGAAGTAGTACAAAATAAAAGTCATACAGAGATAGCTGCATCTGGAACAATGGGATGAATAGCTGCATCTAGAATGATGGAAAGAATTAAAGGACTGGTATAGAATTAAAAATTTGAAAATATGTTCAAATGGGGTTTGTTCTCTTGGAGGTTTGAGTGGTTTTTTTCTTTTCTTTTTTTTCCCCCCCCTCCAGTAAAGCTGGTGTATTTCTGCTTGCAGAAAAGATTGGATTTACAATTAAGCAGTATGAACTGGAGATCATAGAATAAGTCTAAGGAGCTTAGTTATTGACTTGAATGGGTTTATTAATAGTCTGCTTAATGGTTCGGTTACTTTATTCTCCATTTTCTGCAGAATGCTTGGATGCAAAGTCTCTTCTAGTCACATTATTGAGTTTATTTTCTTGGAATGTCTTTTTATACGTAGATATTGTCTGCTTTGTGCAGTAATAACAATTAGCAGTCATTTTCCAGCTTCTTTGCAATGGCTTTCCTCAGTAACTGCTCTCTAGTGCTGCTATTAGATTCACAAACTCTGTCTAAACTGAAAATTTACAAATTCTGCAATACTTCTACTTAAAATGTACCTCTCAGCTTACAGCTATTCAGTTCTTTTATCGCTGGGTTTTACTTTTCACTCAGCATTTTTCTGTGTGTAATTTCTGGATCAGTAGATGTGCCTTTTGTGAAGAACTGGCATTGTTTGTCTTCACAGGATAAATTAAGCATGTTTAGCACATAAATAAGACAGGGAAGTACCTGATACTAGTACATATATACTAGTGGCTTTCTTTAAAGTTAAAACTTCTCTGTCACCTCAGTGCTTATAAAATGTGTTTGCCCTGGAATTGCTTTCAATGATCTGTTTCTTGCCTTTTCATAATTTTGCTTGTGAAATATTACCCTTTCTTAGGGAAGCACTAGCAAGGTGATGTCAGTCTTCAGTTCTAATAGCAAGAACTTAGTGCAGAGATGTTCAGCAAACAGCAACATATATTTCTAACTGTTTGGTCAAGTGTAGTACAATAAGCCACGTATTCCTGCTGACGGTCTTCCGTAGCTCAACATTTGCTGTCTTCCTCCATTTTTTAGATAAAATGTATATGCTAAGGTTGCCTGTTCTTTCAGCAAACAGCGTGTGGAATATGGAGTGAAGAATTCGTTTTAATTTCTTGTGAATCCAAGCTAAGCTTTCTGCTCCTATCTGCTAATAAAAATAGGGGCACTTTTTGGTACTTGAGCCAGCTGTCACTGTCAGACAAGTAGTTGCCTGTTGGTATTTCTGCTTGTGAGGTGACTGGGGTAATGGTAATGAGGATACTCCGATTGCTCTTCCCTGTCCCTTTCAGCAGGTAGTAAAAACTCTTATACTTCCTTACATTTCTCTGCTGTTCATCCCTTCACGTTGCACTTCTACTCATTATCTTTTATTTCTTCAGGGATGTAAACATGCTTTGCTGCGAGGCGTCGGTGTATTTTTTTCTCCTTTAGAAGCAGTAGGCAGTGAGTACGTTAAATTTATTTTTTCCCTTTGCCTTCTTATAGTGGTAAGAAGGAGAGGGTGTTTTTGCACTTATTATGGTTTGCATCATGTTGTAGGGGAATGTTCTGAGGTTTCTGGGTTTTCATGGGTGTACGGGTTGTGGTTGGAGTTTGGATGTTCTCTGTGTTTACCATGTAGTGAGCTATGGAGATGACCTTTTCCAGTTTCAGCTAGTCAGTACGGATTGCATTTCTGGGCCTTGCCAGCTTTAGTAGTTCTGAAATTGGATATCATGCATGTATTTCCTGATTTAATGTCTGTGTATTAGAAAAAACACAATAGTTCCTCTGTGGAAAAAAATCTAGGAAGCAAGTTGATGTTCTGTCCGAGACTTGCACTGTTTAAAATTTTTAAAATATCTATTTAAAAGAGTAAAATGGATCTCAGAGCAGCTCTTGCCCAGTTAAGCTTTTGAGTCTGGAGAAAAATACTGCCTCTTAGGAGAAACAGGAGGTACGATAAGGCAGCAGTCATGCTGTGTGCTGCAGTACACCGGTCAGAATAAATGTAAAATATAAACTGGTAATCAATATATTTTGACGCCGTCAGGCAGAAGACAGGAGGCTGAAAAGCTGATTAGCGGATGAAAGGATAAGAAGCAAAGTTGCAAAACAAAGAGTTGATAATTTTAGATAACCTGACAGAGGATTAGTCAAAAGGTGATACAATAATATCATGTTGCTTGTGTGAGGAGAAGCCTTCTAATCCATCTAAATGAGTGGTGAAGTAAAAGTCATTGATATTTTTGTTTGCATTTAATTTTCATAATTTAATCATGACTCTTTACAGATTTTTGAAAAGTATTTTAGTGATAAACAGTTTTTCAGTAATGTATTCAATTTTTTGGAATGAAGTCTGTTCTGTTATAAGAGAAATTTAAGCCCTTGGATTTAGTAGCAGTCTACAAAGAACATAATTTTTATGAATACTGTTAACTTTCTTCTGTTAGATTTGAAGATTTTCATATGCTAGCCTCTCTTTTGCTACTTGAAAATGCTTCCTCCTGTTCCTCTGATTATTTTGAATCCTAAGGTTGTAGGGGTTTTTTCCTACTCAAAATTCTTTTTTTTTTTTTTTTTTTTACAGCAACCACTGGGTTGTACCTTGAAGTTCTCTACTGTGTTCCTCATATGGCAAAAGTAGACTTTGTGAGAAGGTTTCACAAGTTAATTTAAAAGCATGACTTAAAATCAA